GAACTTCTGGCTTGCACAGATGTGAATTTCCAGAACATCCTGCTGGGTGTCCTCCACTATCATGCCATCCCGCACACTCCATCACTTAACAAACCAGCTGAAGCAGGCCTTTCATCACTATAAAACCTACAAGGCCTTCCCATTTCTTAGGAAATCAACTCTGAACTCTGCCTGGCTTCCTAGCCCCACCCTATCTATTCATTCTTATTTCGTAGTTCTGTCCAGCACACACACCCCTCTCTCAGGCCTACGTCTCACTTGTCCTGCCTCTGGGCCTTTGCCCAAGACACTGCCTTGGTCTGAAATGTATGCTGTCTCCTATCTGCCAAGTGCCCTTCTTCTGGCAAGATCAAAGTTCCATTTCAATTCCACCATGGATCTTTCTTTGTAAAAATTTTATTATTTTACTTATTTTTTAAATTGAATTTATTGGGGTAACATTGGGTAATAAATTATATAACTTTCAGGTGTACAATTCTATATAATCCATTATTTGTATATTGTATTGTTTGTTCACCACCCCAAGTCAAGTCTCCTCTCGTCACCATTTATCCCCCCTGTACCCTATTCTACTTCTCCCAGCCCTTCCTTTCCCTCTGGTAATCACCATACTGTTGTCTGTGTCTATGAATTTTCTTTTTCTTCTTCTCTTCTTCATCCCTTCACCATGGGTCTTTCTTGATTGCCCCTGTCTTTGAACTCCTAAAATACAATGGCTCAATTATATACTGCCACATGTTATTCACTATTCTTTTACAGGTATTAGCACCAGGAACTGGGGGAAAGAGAAGAGAGAGTGAAGTCCTCATTTTAGATTCTGATTTGGAGGTGGGCGTTGGTAGAGGATGGAGGAAGTGGAGCAAATTGATCCCAGAAGCCCTTGGTGCAGGAAAGGAAGTAGGGCCTGTTGTAACGCGCATCCTGCTGTCCACGTCATTTGGCAATAACATCTGAAGTTTTAAGTTCAGCATCATGAGGATAATGAGAAATTTATCTGGATGTTCTAGATAACCAAAGCTTACCATGCAAATTCCCGGGCTCTATTCCAGACCTACTGAATCAGAATCTCTGAGGGACGAGCCCAGCAACCTGGGTCCTAACAGCACTCTAGGTGATTCTGATCCACAGTCATGTTAGAGAATCATTGCTCTCAAACATAAAAACTGAAATATTACTCATTACATAAAACTATTTCTATAATACATCACATACTGCCTTGCCTTTTGAAACAGAACAGACTAAACATAAAGTGCTCCTTTCTTCTGGGGCCCAAGTCTCCATAATGAACATTACTTCCTGCCTAGTGCCACTGTAACGGCTGCACACCAGACAAAACAGTCGGGCACCACACTGCCAGGGCCACGGGCCACCTGGTCACCTCACTCAGGCAACTGCCTGCAACTGTCATTTGGGTCCACCCAGCCCTGATGATTATCTATAGCAATCTGGAGGGGTTCTTCAGCTTGGGGTTTTATGAAAACAATACAAAGACTAATTGAAACTGACTGAATCACTGTGTAAAAGAAAAAGCATGCACTAACCATACCCACCCCTAATATTACAGAACAAATACTGAGCTGATGCATTCTGGTGTCATCTTTCAATGTCTCCACTAAGGAAGTGGAAATTTTTAGGCAACACTCAGGAAGTGTTGGTTCTCAACTGAATTTCACTTTTCATATGATCTAGACGTCACTGATCCTCCTCCAGATACCACACTTTGTTCTTACCACATATCAGTTTGCCTTAACAAATCAGTTAGAAGGATCCTTCAAATCTGCATTGGAATTGCTCAACGTTCGGATTTTACCCTGACATCTCTCTGAACAATGGCCACGGGGGCTTAGCTTCCCTTGAATACACGGAACCTACCGCCAGTTTCTTACTGCTGGGGAGCAACACTTTTTCCACACTGGAAGCTTTGTGTCTGTCTCTGACCAGCAGTCTCTGTGCTCTGCCTATATTGAGGTTTTCAGTAAGATTTACAGCCAGTTCAGTTCCTCTGGGGAAGAAATAACTTCCAGATTGGGTCCAACCTAAATAGAATTTCCTTGGATCTGAAGGTAGACGCCTGTGAAAAGTTGACAGATAGCTGCCAAAAATGCCTCTCCGAGAGGTTTACGGCACTCCCCAGAAACGGAGAAGGGGCTTGCTTCCCCGCAGCCTCCCTGGGAGAGACAGAAACGGCTTTTTCCTGTGGCGATCTCAGTGTCCTGCGCCACCCTCCCCCCCATGACAGTCACCATCAGAAGAACCTCAACCACCTCCCTTCAGAAGCTGACCCTTCCTCCTGGATGCAGTTTTCTTTTTTAATTTAATTCCAAAAAAATGGAACTGAGAACTTACTTTGAAACTAGTTCTCACAAGTCTGAAATCACAAAACTTGAAATCTTGCTATGATATTTGTAATGACCTACATTCTTTTTTCTCTGAAGATGAGTCAAGTCAGAAGGGAAAGGAATTTTTCAATGATCCAGCTCTTTTTGCTTAAAGAGCTTGGAGTCTCATGGTATCCATCTCCATATCCCAAGACATCTCTTTTATTTCCATTCATAAGAAAGTTATTTATTGGGAGTCAAAAGGTTCTCTTACCACAAGCACTGTCCTCTTCTTCATTTCTAAGACAGCTAAAGTTGAAAAGTTAATCACTAATGCAGGATGATAATAAAAGGAGAAACCGGGGTAGGGAGAAGAGGAGTATATAGGCTCTTTCTGTATTTTTCCACTCAGTTTTTCTGTAACCTAAAAGTGCTCTAAAAAATGAAGTCTGTTAATGTTTTCAAAGTTAAACACACACACACACACACACACAATGGGCTATGTTACAAAGTGCTGTTTTAATAATTGAGACATGCATGTACAGAAAACAACAAAACATTTTACAAAAGCACATACAAAGAGAACATACTCATTTAATATATTAGGGTAAGGTATTGCACACCAGACAAAACAGTCGGGCACCACACTGCTAGGGCCATGGGCAATATGTATTAAATGAAAACATTTAATACATATAGGGTAATCTTTGGGGGCAGTGTAAATGGAAGACAAAACAGAATTAACAAAATTAGAGAAGGACATTGCATGGACCAATGATGATAACATGCCATCAGCTGAGTAGGATCAAATCTGTCCTATGAACTTGAAATTTAAAAAGAAAAAACAAAGTAGTGGCTCTCAACTTGGGCAGGATGGTAGAGTTTGGAGAAATTTAAAAAGAGCACACATGCTTCAGCCCCATTTCAGACCAACCGCATGAGAAACTCCACTCTTGGAGCCCAAGCTTGGGCATTTACAAAACTTCCTGTATTGGCCTCATCATCTCTTCATGTCCAGAAGTCCATGTGAGATAAATAAATGATTGAAAACATGAACAAGGGAGAAAAAACAAATCTTCCTTCTATTAGAATTCCAAATAATTTTCATAGATACTCCCTTTACAGGAGATGGAGTTTAATCCCTCTTTCTCCCATGATGATTGTGGGCTGAATTTAGTCATTTGCTTCTAAAGAACAGACTACAGGAAAAGGGGGAAAGTGACTTTATAGTGAAAAAAGCTGGCAAACACTGCCTACACTAAATGATCAAGGTTAACATAACCAATAATAAGTCATATTGCTAGCAGATACTCTTGATGTAATTTGATGAGAATGATACTTCCCTTCTGGGGCCATCCTCCCCAAAACCCACAACACCACTCTAATCCGAGGAAAAAAATCAAATTGAGATGCACTGTACAAAATACCTGACTGTCATGAAAACTAGTACTCCTCAAAACTGTCACGGTCATGGAAAAACAAAGAAAGCCTAACAAATTGTCGCAGATCAGGCAAGGACCAAGGAGACATGATGACTAAGTGTAATGTGGTGTCCTGGATGGGACCCTGAAACAGTAAAAGGACATTCATAGAAAAAAAAAAAAACTAGTGAAATCCAAATAAAGTCTGGGGTTAGTTTAACTAACTAGATTTAAAAGTTAAAAAAAAGGTTCTAACTTACCAGGTACCTATAATGTAATTAAAAAACAGAAACCAGGAAGGAGGAAGGAGGAACATTGCATACAGATTCAGCAGAAGAGGAGAAAAATATATTGCTTATTTTTCACATGAGCTATTGTATACTTTCTTTAGCTTTACAATGGTGTTACTAAAATACTGTAAAGGAAGAGAGAAAATAAAGAGGTAAGAGAGAGTAAGAGGCAAGTCAGTAAGAGGGTGAAGGCTAAGGAAGCCCAAGTGAGGGCTCAGAGGCTGCCAAGCAGGCACCACAAGGCTGGAGCCCAGAGCCAAGCAACCTGCTTGGCCTTGTCCCGTCAACACTCAGCACTGTGGCCCAGTTGGAACTGAGGTCGGTTGTGCAGAAAGAGGCATTTTGCTGTATGAGGGAAGTCATTACGATCTGGAAATCTCCACATCCCAGATTACCCAGAACTGTCTGGGTCGAAACCTGGATATTGGTGAGGACACAGAGAAGCCGAGCTGAGGGGAAAATTCAGTTAAGATTCTATTTGCTCTTTTCCCTGCAGGAGCTCACACTGTGCTGTCCAATATTCTCAGACAAGAGGTGTTTAGAAATATACAAACTGCAGCGTCATTTTCCCTTTCATGGATGGTGGTGCTGATTCATATCCAAAATCTACTTAGAAAAAATAATTTCTCCCACCAATGACACTGATTTTAATCGATTCCTATAGCTTAAATGACTACAAATGCCACTGCAGAGGAAAACATTAAATAAGAATTTAAAACGTAGCTTATTTTTGCTTCCACATTACAAATTGATTATCATATATAAAGTGGATAATTTTAAAAAACTTAGCTGATTTTATCATATCAATCCAGTGATAGAATAGGTATCATTCCTTTTTAAAACAGATTTTTTAAAAATTGTTTTTATTGATTTGAGAGAGAAGGGGGAGAGAGAGAGAGAGAGAGAGAGAGAGAGAGAGAGAGAGAGAGATCAATTTGTTGTTCCACTTATTGATGTATCATTGGCTGATTTTTGTATGTGCCCTGACCAGGGATTGAACCTGAAACCTTGGTGTATGAGATGACACTCCAACCAACTGAGCTACCCAGTCAGGGCTCATTTCTATCTTATAAATAAGAAAACATGCGGATCTGAATAATTAAGTAAATGGCTGAAGGACATACACCAAGTAAGTAACATAGCAAAGTTTAGACTTTTACAACCTAAGTTATCTGATGGCAGTTCTTGACCCAATGCCTGTCACTCCATACTTTCAGCCTGCCTGGCACAGCCAGGCCCCTTTATAAGCTCAAAACTTCCAGCTTGCATGGGGTGAAGGTAGATTCTGGGACATTCTGGGGACAGTTTGTGCTCCTCACACTGGCAGGCAAGCTAAACCTTACAGCTCACACTGTCTTCATCATGTGTTGTCAAGCCATGGGAAGTGGCCTTTTCACAGCCAGGGTTTCATAAAAAGCACTCAGTTCCAGGGAAAGTGAAGGAGTTTTCTTACATGGCATTTTTAATGGACACAATGAAATGATGTGATGTTTGAGATTCTGAGCTTTGCTTTAAAATTATCCAGGAGGGAGCACAGGAGAAAGAGGGTGCCAATGACATAAGAATGGCCATAAATTTATAGGAAATGGCACATACACATAGAAGATAGGAATGGCTTTATAACATAAATATTGAAATTTAGTGATGGGTACATAAGGCTTCATTATGTGATTTCCTCTATTTTTATATATTTGATATTTTACAGAATAAAAAGTTACTATATTAACACACAAATACAGAAATAAATACCATTAAGACTAGACTCTAGAGAAATAATTAAGTATTTAAATTTTGAGGAACATAACTACTTAGTTAGAATAGGCTTACTTGTTTTAATACATAGACCTTAAGCAATAATCACTCAAGCACAAGAGGAGCCTATTTTTGCTAAGAAAATGGTTCAGAGGGGTGTCCCAGCCTGGAGGGGTAGAGGCTCTGCTCCATGAAGTCATTCAGAGACTCAGCCAGACAGACTTTCTGTCATCTCCAGCATCTGGCTTCTAAAGCCAGCACCCTGGCCCATGAGAAGGAGAGGAGCACAACACCCATTCTCTTGAAAGCACAGTGCAGAGGGCAAGTATTACTTCTGCTGCATTCTATTAGCAGGAGCTTAACCACATGAAACACTCAGCGGCAAAGAAGGCTGGCACTGAGGCTCATACCTGGACAGGCATGACAGAGTTACAGCCTCTGTGGTAGAAAGAAAAAAACAAATATTAGTGGAAAACCAGCTGTCTCGTGGGTGGGTGGGAAAGAGATCAAACAAAGAACTTGTATGCATGTATGCATAACCCATGGACACAGAAAATAGGGTGGTGAAGGCCTGGAGTGGGAGGCAGTGATGGGCTAGAAGGGGTCAATGAGGGGGAAAAGGCGACATATGAAATACTTTCAACAATTAAGATCTTTTTTAAAAGAAGAAATTTTTTCCAATATTCAAAGCCCAGCCAGACGCTCACCTCCTCCTTGAAGCCTTTCCTAAACCCTTTTTTTCTCCAGAAGCCTTACTGTGAGCCACTAAGAAGCAAAAACCACCACAATCGACAAATACGGCATGTGTACTGCAATCTCAAGACTATTCATTCATCTCTATTTAAAAAGAATTGCTGGTTCACAAAGTCAATTTACTGGCAATTCTAGCTAAATGAGTGTGATTTTTTAGATATTGGATTTTTAATAGCAGCTTTTGTATACGGTATAAGAGTAATGTATAAAAATTAATTTTTCATCCTAGCCAGTTTGGCTCAGTGGCTAAAGCACCGGCCTGCAGACCAAAGGGTCCTGGTTCTATTCTAGTCAAGGGCACGCACCTTGGTTGCAGGCTCCTCCCTGGCCCCGGCCCTGGTCAGGGCTCGTGCAGAAGGCAACCAATCGATGTGTTTCTCTCACATCAATGTTTCTCTCTGTCTTTTCCTCTCTCTTCTACTCTCCCTAAAAATCAATGGAAAAATATCCTCAGGTGAGGGTTAACCAAAAAAAAATTATTTTTCAAATAAGTATTATTTGGAATAATTATCTTTTAAAATATGTAAAATCAATTCGTAACAATGGTTGCCTCTAGGATGGGGAGTTAGGTGGCTGAACAAAAGAATGGAGGAGATTTAGCTTTCACTCCATACCCTTCTGTATCTTTTGAATTTATACCCATACATAAAAATAACTATCCAGTCCTTGGAATGTGTAGCCTCACCTGAAACGAGTACACTTCTCTGAGAGAACAGGAATCTGTGCAACTGTTGCCTCTTGCCCATTAGGTCCACTCTAGACCAAATAACACCTATTGGTGATTTTCTAAGCCATATCTCAGCATCAGCTAACCAGAGAGATATTTTCCAAAATCTATGTGGTGGGAATAGGAATTACTCTTTCCCCCCTGTATTTTCCAAACTTTATACAATGTAAAAAAAAATACATCATCAATATTTTATTTATTTACTTATTCATTTATCCATGTATTCAATCAATTTTTATTGAATAGTAGTGTGTGTGTTTTCTAAAAACCCCTCTGTGATATGTTCTAAGAAATCCAGAGCTAAAAAGAGGAAGCTTGTAATTGCCTCAATTTTTTATAGTGGGGGAGCGTGTAAATAAGGAGTGGCCCCTACCTTCCAGATATTTGAGGGCAGATATGTAGTAAGCATTGAGCTGTGGGAGTGAAGTAGAAGAAACAAGTTATCTTGGGCATATCAAGAAAGCTTTCCCTGAATAAACACACACACACACACACACACACACACACACATTTGAGCTAGGTTTTGAAAGGTGATTAGCATTAGGAAAGAGAGATAGAAAGTGTACTTCAGGATGAGGAAGCAGCATGGCAAAGGCATGAAAACATGTATACACATGGCAGTTTGGAGAAATGAGCAAGATAAGAATGTGGTGCGGATGAAAATGCTAATGGGAGCAGGATGAAGAAAGCGACGAACAGGTCATCCACCTGCAGAATGCGCTGGGAAACCACTGAAAGTGTGTGATAAGGAAGGAACAAGTTCCACTCGTGTTTCAGGAAGATGTCAAGGTTAGGCAGTGTGATAACAGAAAGATCACAGGCTTTGAAGTTAAGCAGACCTGAATTTGAATCTTGTCTTGTACTCACTGGCAGTGACATTTCACTTCTCTGTTTCTTTGTTTCATCATGTCAGACAAGAGTTAACAAAAGAAAGCACTCAAGACTTGCATGGCACACTAGAGGCTGAATAAATTATAGAGAATATTCTTTCTATGGTAATGTGGAGGGTGTATTAACAAATTAGGATACATGGGCCCGCTCAGGGACTGATGTAGAGTCTAGGTGAGAGGTGATGAGGACCCAAAATAGGTAATGACTGTTAGAATAGAAATGACAGAACAGGATATACTGGCATCTAGTGGGTAGGGGCCAAGGATCCCACAGTGTACACAACAGCTCTCAACAACAAAGAATCATCTGGCCCCAAAAGTCAGTAGTGCCATGGGTTGAGGAACCTTGTATGGATGGAAAAAAATCAGAGAACAAGTTGTATGACCTTTCCTCAATTTTTAAAAAATTATGAAATATTTAAAACATACTTTAAATATAACAAATATCCACATACTTACTAGTAAAATGTAAGAGATATTCATAATGTGGCTCTTCTACATCAAGGAGAAAGAAGTGGAGCCGTAAGTCAGATAATCCTTGAGAAACATACTTAAATATCTTCAGGTGAAGGTCCTTCATTTCTCCTTCAGAGAACTTTAAAATAGAAAGTTTTTGAAAGGAATAATTTATTAAATTAAGAGAAAGAATTTTCTCTTTGGCTCACTAAGCAATATTAACAAATAAAATTAAGATAGCATAGCAGTATCTGGAAAAGAAAGGAAAAATTGCTATGTGGTACAATGAAAATTTTCAATAAATGGGGCATAACATTTCATGGAGATTTTGTTTAAATGGAATCAGACAGGAGACCACAATCTAGTCTTATAAGCCCCTCAGCTCCATCAAAATCTGACACTGGGGAAAGATTCAATCTTAGTATGGGCATGACCTTGTCTGTGTATTCCACTAAGCATGTGATTTCTCCCACAAAATGCCACAAATATACATGGTATAAATTAAGTGACTCCTTCAGGATTTTAGTGAACATTAATGCTTATGAGATAAATAAAGAAATACAGATACAGGGAGGTCAGACAAGTTTACATACCAGCAGCCAAGGAATTGCTCCTATAGTCAGGGTGATTTGAATTCACACCACAGCAAATTTACAAGAATCATTCTTGCCCTAGCCAGTGGTCGGCAAACTCATTAGTCAACAGAGCCAAATATCAACAGTACAACGATTGAAATTTCTTTTGAGAGCCAAATATTTTAAACTTAAACTATATAGGTAGGTACATTGTTATTAACTTAATTAGGGTACTCCTAAGGCTTAGGAAGAGCCATACTCAAGGGGCCAAAAAGCCGCATGTAGCTCACGAGCCACAGTTTGCCAACCACGGCCCTAACTGGTTTTGCTCAGTGGATAGAGCGTCAGCCTTCGGACTCAAGGGTCCCAGGTTCAATTCCGGTCAAGGGCATGTACCTTGGTTGCGGGCACATCGACAGTAGGGAGTGTGCAGGAGGCAGCTGATCGATGAGTCTCTCTCATTGTTTCTAACTCTCTATCCCTCTCCCATCTTCTCTGTAAAAAATCAATAAAATATATTTTTAGAAAAAGAAAAAAAAGAGGAAATGTCATAACACATTGCAGACAGTAAGGACAGCTATTTAAAAAAAAGAATCATTCTTGGGCAGGTAATACTACAAATGTAAAATCTGTACATGCCAAGGATACACTGTACACTTAATTTTTTAAAAGTATTTTTAATGATTTCTACAGGGAGAGGGAGAGAAAAACATCGATTGGCTGCCTCCTGTAGCCCCCTACTGGGGCTTGAGCCTGCAACCTTACCAGGAATCAACGGGCAACCTTTTGGAACGACCCTCAACCAACTGAGCCACACTAGCCAGGGCCCATTGCACATTTATTAAATCATAGTACCTACCATGGCTCCCTTCTCTGACGCACATCTTAGGTCTTATTATATTTACATTTATATATAATATGCATTTTCAATCCAGAAGGATTAGGCCATATCAAGCTGAATGTTATGTGGATTATTTTGTGTCTGTAGTTTAACATGCTCATGTAACTCTCTAAAGCTGAACTGTCCAACACACTAGCCAACAGGCACCTATGGTTACTGAGCATGTGAAACGTGGCTAATCTAAATTGAGATTTTCTGTGAATGCAAAAATATGTGAAATTTTGAAGATTCCATTTTTTAAAAATAGAAAATATCTCATTAATTGGATTACATTGATTCCATGTTAAAATTATACTATTTTGAATATCTTGATTTTGAGTAAAAATATATTGTTAAAATCAATTACACCTGCTTCTTTTACTTTTTAAACATAGCTTCTAAAAAATTTAAAATTAAATTTGTGGTTCACATTATATTTCTATGGGATGGCACTAACCTAGAGCTTGCCCTACACATATGTCCATTTTTAGGACCAGGTACATTCCAATTCAGACATACTGCTGAAAAAATACACATGGTGTGGAACCAAGCATTCACACACCATTTTCCAGAGAAATCTTTAGAGTGTACATGCTTAACAAATGACACTGTGTTACATTACACTGTGCTAGAATAGGAGCTATCCTATTGGTGAGAGAGATTTTATCAAGGAAGGAGTAGCTACCGCCTTGTTTTCTTAAGACAGAAACAGACAGAATCAATTATAAAAGGAATTACTCAATATGTACATATATGTGCTCTCTGGGGACAGAAGAAACAATTATGCAGATTCTTAAGGCAAAAAGTCATACTTGCTTAGCTATTTTTTTTTTTGGCAGGTAAGTAATTACATGTAGAAAGAGGAAGTATAATATCTATTTTCTCAAAAAGCCTTGACCAAATTCCATGCTGAAAGATACTAATAAATGGATGGAGAAAGAATGTGTCAGAAAGGCATGTTAGTCAAGGATCGATGTATTTGCTATCTCTTGCTGCATAACAATCTCCTATGAACTTAGTGACTTAAAACAGCAGACATTTATTCTCTCAGTTTATGTGAGTAGGTGCTGTAGTACAGCTTGGCTGAGTCCTCTGCAAGACTGTAATTAAAATGTTTGCCAGAGCTGGATTTTTATCTGAGACTCAACTGGGAAGGATCTGCTCACTGTCAGACTGAGATCTGCCATTTCTTGCTAGCTGTTGGCTGGAGGCTGCCCTGGGCATGGTCCTCTCCTAGGGAAGCTCACAGCACAGCAGTTTGCTTCTGTAAAGCCAACAAGAGAAGGTCTCTCAGCAAGACAAATGTTACAGTCTTAGTAAGTAATCACATCCATTAACCAAGTACATCCTCTCATCTTGCTGTGTTCTTCTGCTTGGAAACAAGTCACAGGTCCCACCCACACTCAGGAAGGGGGATTGCATGAGGACATAAATACCAGAAGGCAGAGATTATGGGCCCACCTTAGACTCTGCCCCACACAATAGGGAACTGGCTTAGGGATAAAAACTAGGAGGAGATGTCACAGTAAAAACCAATCTGTATTAGGACTATTTTAGTTTATATTTTTCAAATAATCTGGAAGAGAGGAAAAATAACAAAATTTATCAGTTTTTCAAAAGAAATAATTTTCTAGAGAGTAAGATGTCATGACACTGGGATCAAGTAAAGAATGGCCAATGGAAATCACCAGTAGTAACAGTACCAACATCATTGGCAAGCAGCATGTGGACTTACATCTGAGAATCAGATGTTTCATCGCCAAAGTGGTGCCCAATTGTGAACGTATCTTCTGTTTTAGTGATTAGGTAACAATTGAAACACATGATTTTTGTTTTTCGATATAGAATTGTCTTAAGAGTTAGGAAATAAATATGTATGCTACAGAAGCACACCACCATGTTAAGGAGCAACCTTTGGACTTTTTCTACAATTTATTTCTGAATGGGACTGCTAAGGACACTATCTTAGTTGGACAGTATCTCATAATCAACTCTAGCATGTTAGAACTAGGCAAACCAAGCACCCTGCAGGTGACTAAACTTACATTTGCTGATGCAATAGTTACCAAAAAGTAAAACTTTTGGAAATAGGACCAAACAACTTTTTCAGAGTTTGTGGGACAGAAATTAATATCATGAATAACCAAATATTTCTCTTCTGCATACAACAGAACCTCTCTGAGCTCTTGTCCAATTACTTGAGGATAGCAGGAAACTGGTTTTCTAAGCAAGAATGCAATTTATTTTGCCAACATTATTATTATGTTTAATTGTCAAAGTGGTGCCCAATTGTGAACATATCTTCTGTATTAACATTTCATAAAATTGATTTGTTCAAGTGTGTTTCGCTTTTCCATGTTGGTTGACCTCTCAATTCAAATATTGTGAGGCTGCTAGAAACAGCACTCTGTCTTATCCAGCTTTGAACCATAGTGGATATTCAATGAATGTTTGCTGAATAAAGAAATGAGTTTATTGTGTGGACTGTGAAATGCAGTTAATATCAATAATGATTCTAAAGACGCAGTAATATGAAGGTAAATTCAATATAGACAAGTGTAAGAAGAAAATGAGTCAGATCACACTAATGAAATATTGGGCTCTGAGCTACGAAAATACAAGCAAGAAATAATCTAGAATATAAATAACTTGTTTTAAAAAGTACTTATTCTCTTTAGAATAGTAGCTTAATGCAAATAACTGTAAAGGAAGACTATATTCACCGTAATTTTAGAAATGTAGTATTCATATGTCAAAGACAAGTGGGTATTGACCAGAAAAAGACAAAGAATCTCTTACATTAAAAAAAATCAAATAGCAGTGAATAAATACAAAGATAAATATTTACAATTAGGTTTATTAAAAAATAAAATAAATTTATCTTGAATACATCTATCTCTTTGAAATTACTATTCTATCAAAGATAATAATTACTTTAAACAGTCATTCAAATTATTAACACTGAGGAAGGAGGAATAGTCCATAACCTATAAATTAAAACAAAATTGTTGCAAATCTCTGATGAATGTCTCACTTATTAGCATTTGTTTCCATAGTTTGTTTTCCTTAGCGTGGTTAAATTGTAACCTGAGCAGTACCTACTCAGTGATCCACAACAGGGCATTCCAATTTTTATTGTGCAATCATTTATAAACCTTGGATTCTATCCACTTTACATAGCAACACCACTGATGACTCTTGGGAAACCGATGCTATGTGGCTCTTTCCAGCAGTGCTAAAGTTTACAGCCCAACATGTTGGGGGGTTTTTAAGTCTTTAAAGACAAAGATTGAGTTGCAAAAGGATTAATTCACCACCTGCTCATCAGCTTCAGAAACTGTTGTACATGTCTTTTTTAGAGGGAAATTTGAAGATTGGGGAGCAGATCTTGGGAGGAACATTTGATTTTTACTGGATAACCTCCTACTGTTTTATTTCCTTTATGTACTATACCACATGCATGTATTATCTTACAGTAACTACAAGTCAAAATTTTAAAAAATAAAGTTAGCTACATTAAAAACAACTATAGCCCTAGCCAGTTTGGCTCAGTGGATAGAGTGTCAAACTGCGAACCAAAGGGTCCAGGGTTTGATTGCGGTCAAGGGCACCTATGTACCTTACCTCGGTTGCAGGCTCCTCCTCAGCCCAGGCCTTGGTCCGGGCACAACCAATCAATATTTC